AGATATGAGCACTGCTTCATCAGCCGTTACCACCGGAGATATGAGCACTGCAACACCAACCGTTACTACGGGAGATATGAGCACTGGAACACCACCTGTTACTACAGGTGATATGAGCACTTCTTCATCAGCCGTTACCACAGGAGATATGAGCACTGCAACACCAGACGTTACCACGGGAGATATGAGCACTGSAACACCAGCCGTTACCACGGGAGGTATGAGCACTGCTTCATCAGCCGTTACCACGGGAGATATAAGTACCTCATCACCAGCTGTTACCACTGGTGATATCAGCGCTGCATCGACAACGTCTCCATCAACACGACTTTTAACAGATATCAAAACAACTGTAATTCCAATAGTTAATACAGAAAATATTGTCACTGATGCTCAAGTCGTCCACACAGGTTATGTGAGCCCGGGAACACAAGGTGTTACTACAGGAGTTATGAGCACTGTAACATCGGCTGTTACTACAGGAGTTCTGAGCACTGCTGCAACACATGTTACTACAGGAGATATAAGTACTGAAGGACCTTCAGAAACAACACAGAGTATAGCAAAGTCGACTACTCAAGGTTCAATAACAAGCAAGAAAATTGCCACCTCCCCAAGTACTGAAGGGCCTTCAATCACAACTGGGAGTATAGCAAAGGAAACTACTGAAAGTCAAACAACAAACAAGAATATTGCCACCTCCCCAAGTACTGAAGAACCTTCAGGAACAACTCAGATTATAGCAAAGGAGACAACTGACCGTCAAACAACAAACAAGAAAATTGCCACCTCCCCAAGTACTGAAGGGCCTTCAGTGACAACTGAGAGTATAGCAAAGGAGACTAGTGAAAGTCAAACAACAAACAAGAAGGTTGCCACCTCCCCAAGTACTGAAGGGCCTTCAGTGACAACTGAGAGTATAGCAAAGGAGACTACTGACAGTCAAACAACAAACAAGAAAGTTCCCATCTCCCCAAGTACTGAACGGCCTTCAGTGACAACTGAGACTAGAGCAAAAGAGACTACTTCAGCAACAGCAGTTAGCATGGGAGATGTGAGCACTGAAACATCAGACGTTACCACGGGAGATATGAGCACTGGAACACCACCTGTTACTACGGGTGATATGAGCACTGCTTCATCAGCCGTTACCACGGGAGATATGAGCACTGCAACAACAGACGTTACAACGGGAGATATGAGCACTGCAACACCAGACGTTAGCACTGGAGATATGAGCACTGGAACACCACCTGTTACTACGGGTGATATGAGCACTGCTTCATCAGCCGTTACCACGGGAGATATGAGCACTGCAACAACAGACGTTACAACGGGAGATATGAGCACTGCAACACCAGACGTTAGCACTGGA